CTGAGCGATTGTGGTCTGAGTAATTACCCACTGAAGGAGAGACACGATTCACCCTGCTGTTCAGCAAAAGTTCAAGAGAAGTTATAATTAAACAATAACTGGTTTACAAATGAACAATCCCGCGCACATGTATACTTAATAATAATAAGCCGCAATGCATCTGAGTGAGAATGAACAACAATGTCAAAGGGAGCAGCCTGCCAGCGTGTATCCATGTTATCTGTGTGTTTGATGGTGGGGGGGCAGATTGGATAATGATTGACACAGAGGCTGGACTCCTCTTCGCTCGTCTTAGAGGCGGACATGATGTTTGACTTTGTGTTCAAACACAACCTGAAAATGATCCGGGTGAGTGAAGTTCTCACATTCAGCAGGACCAAACCGCTTTGTGTTGAAGTTTGGAAATCTTTATTTGCTCTGAAGTACTGAGCAGCTACACTTTTTCTAAAAAAAAAAAAAAAAAAAGTTGTGAAACTATTGAAGAATAATGAAGCTGTGGTAAAACATTTTAGGGATTTTTACCTTCTTCTGAATCTGCCTGCTTCCACATGTTAGTCATTTTGCTGCTAGTGCTTCTATTCTATTCTATTCTATTCTATTCTATTATATTCTATTCTATTCTAACATTTTCCATTAACCATTTTCCTCTCTGAAAGTTGAAAAAAGGTTTATAAGCTTGTTGCTGACCTGAACCGCTGAATGATTCCAGTTTGTTAAATTAATTCTAAATGTTCTTTGTGGACCAGCACACAAACAAACCTACTGAAACTTGATGCATCTTCTCGTTTAGTTTGCATCATTTTATAAATAAATGGCTCAGAATGTGACTGAATGAAAGGATCAGACTGCTAAAATAAAACCTAAAGCTGTATCATTACATATTAGAATTCATTAATTGAATTTTTTTACTCACAAAAAAAGTGATATTTCATAGACATTGGAGACAATTGTTTATATGACTTAATTTTAAAGAAAATTATCTACGTAACAGATGCTAAAACAAGCTTTCTGTTCTTTACTGTCTGAGCGTTCAAGTTAGGGGTGCTAAAAAAAAATTATTCAGTTAAATACAGGGATATTTCATTGCACAATATTGGTATTCTTCCAGAATATTGCTAAAAGAATCTTAAATAATTTTTTTATATATATATATTTATAAGCAATTATAGACTATTATAAAATGTTTAGCCTTTTAATCAGCTGCTCTGCTCCGTCTGCAGCAGACTAACAACAAGATCTCATGAGGTTCTCCACTTCTATATTATTATAAAAATCACAATATAGCGTCTAAGTGGCTCTTCTCATCCAATCACTTTTGCTTTGTTTTAAATAGTCTTTTGAATCTGAAGAAACAGGTCAGAAAATCATTTAATAGTAATAATATTCACTATTTTAACTGTCTTTGCACCAGGGATCACAACAGATTTTCACTTCTGCTCTAAAAATGTTGTCTCTATTTTCTAACTTTATCTCCAGCTTGTTTACTGGGTTCATTGGCTTTTTTCTGTGCTCTTGCAGCACACCTTAAAATATCTTATTTTGAACCAACATGTTTCCCCTGCCTGGAGACACTGTTAAAGTTCTGAAGTGGCTTCAGGCAAAGTTTCGGCTTGATTGAAGCTAAAAATGAGGGTGATTGCAGGGAGGCCCTCCAAACCTCAAAGATGTGAAGCACAGCTTAAAAAATAAAATAAAAAGAAATTTGTCAAATACCAGTTAAGGAATTTAAAAACCCTGCTCAGTAATTATAAGAAGAATATGACAGCTGTAATGCAAATAAAAATGTTTGATTACTCAAACATATAATCTAACTACATGACATTTTTTTCTTTTACAAATTAATGTTATTTGTACATTATTTAGTTTTTTGATGATGTGTGTCTAACTGGCTTTAAAATGAAGCAAACAGACATAAAAACAAACTGTTCAGCTCATTCACCTAAATAAATGACTTCTGCACTCAGACATATTTCTCATTCATATTTATTACTCGTATTAATCTTCTTTCGACTCATTATCTCAAATGTCTGTTTGCTCAGGCAGGTTTGAATTGACTGGCATGTCTTTGAAGCTCTTGTTAGAGAATAAACTGAAAAATGAATCCTCACCAAGTGCTAGAAAATCTGATAACTTTAAGTAAACACATATTATAAAAATAAAAACTCACCACTCTATATTTTTTGTGGATTTGAAAGTAAAATGGAGAATCCTGGCATATTAAATGTAAACTGAAACTGTTCATTTCAGTTTTTTTTATTTCATTTTGAATGTTTTCCCTTTAAAATAATCAAACATTTAATCTGTTTATCAGGACATGTTTAGATGGCAGGCAGCCTGTCTTTTCAAACCCCTTCCTGTCTGCAGGACAGTGAGAAGAGATGTTAAACTCACCCTTTAAGTCTTCTTGTTGCCACTAGATGGCGCTTGAGCACCAACTATCCTCCATCCTTCACAGTTCATTCAGCTCCACAGCTCAGCCCTGGTTTATTATTTCTTTCTTTCTCTGGAAGCCTGATGGGAAATGTGAAGTCACCTAAATAAAAAGGAAGGTGTAATTAACGCAACGAGCTATTAATTGCATCTGCTAGAGAGCGGATGAAGGGCACCGAGGCGAGCTTCCCTTTTTATTACACAGCCTTTCTCAAAAGTCTTCTTGGGATCCATCAGAGGAAGGGAGATGGGCTGGTGTAGATTCATGTGAGGCGTCCAAATGGCAGGTCGGGTCAAACGGATAACGACCATGATGGTGATGATGATGGTGAGGCAGAGGGGGGGATGTCCACTGATGTGAACTGTGTGGTTCACCACAAGCCAGCTGATGTGAATCCAAACACAAGCAGCTGAGTTTAGTATCAGTGCAAATGCTGGTCTAAATAACTTTATGTTGCTGTGTTTTCAAATCAAACTGCACCCTTTAGAGTCCACCTGGGTGGAGGCGTGAAGTTTGTGTGCTTTCACAACTGATCAATCCATCCCATCCTTTCACAGATCAGGCTGGTTCCTGGCTCATCACCATTTAAGATTACAAATATGATTTTAAATGAAAATTAAAAAGTACAGGTGTATTGTTTTTCATGTTCCTGCTGCCTTATTGCATCTAAATCCAGAACCTTTGAGTTTCTTTTTCTAAATATTGTCACCCAGAAGTCACACATCACAGCAGCTCATCTTAGGAGCATTTTAAAGAGATGATGCAACAGGAAAATAAAAACTAAAGGCTGAAAGCTAGCAGAATATTTATTAAATCAAGTGCTTCTTAGTAGATATTTCTTTTTTTTTTTCTTTTCTTTTTTTTACCATTTTAATAGCAGGTTTGTTTTGATTTTAGAAATCTTCATGTTAGACCTGTTAAAAGGCTCCATAGGAACTAGTAAATGTAAAGATAGATGGAAAAAATCCCCTTTGTGGTCATTTTGGAACAGCTGCAATGGGAATCTTAGAAATGCAAATAAAATAACATGCAATTTGAAGGGGTTAACAGAGATTTCTAAAATGGACCCATTTTAATCCTTCCATTGACCACTTTTGCTCCTGGAACCCCAGCTTGAAGAGCTAATTGAACCCCAGATGAAAGCTGTGGCCTCCTCGGCCAAAGTCAGTCCATTTAAAAGCAGCCTTGGGGCAGAAACAACACATCATCAACTCACGATCTTTCCTCCATCCACTCTCATTTTCTCGCAGCCATTAATTCGTCTCCAACGACTGAGCTGCAACCAAAGCTGTCAGGCAGAGCATGAACCTGCTGCAGCACCACTCACATCCCATGTGTTTATTTGTGCACTACCAAAAAAAAAAAAAAAAATCCATGTAGGCTTGATGTTGAAAAAAAGCCTTTTTAATATCAACCTCATTATTTAAAAATGTGCAAGTCCTTTGTTCATGTGACACCAGCGGGCATTTATCACCTCTGATAGATCTACCCCAAGTTCATCCAGTGAATATGACCACATCCCCCCCACAGCCCCAAAGATAAAAATGAAAACAAGCAGTAAAACAAAAACAAATCCACAACGTTGGATTGCTACAGGTCTACATCCCACAACTTTAGTCAAATCTGATCAATTCATTAAAGCTACCGAAGAGAAATTTCAGTGATCATTTCTGCAGAAACAGGAAAATAAAAAACAAAAGGAAATGTTCTCCTCCCCTGGATATGTGTCTCTGCATAACACATAAAGCGAGCTACTATTGGAAATTAAAGCATATATATATATATATATATATATATATATATATATATATATATATATATATATATATATATATATATAT